GGGAGCGTCCCCGTGGTGGGGGGGCTGCTCTGCTTTCTGCTGCCTGAGACCCGTGGCACTGACCTGGTGGATGACACGGGGGATGGCTGCCCCCCAGCTGAGGTGGGTACCCAGCGGTGCCCATATTGCCTCTTTGTCAGGGACATGTGGTGCCAGTCCTGTGGGAGGCTATCAGCATGGCATAGTCTGGGGGTTTCTTTGGGGGCTTACACTGGTGGAGGGCAGGGAGCAGGGCAGGCCCACTGTGAAGGGAGGAGAGGAGGCCCCATAACCCTGCCAATCGTGGTCATCCCTTCATTCCTGTCCATGGAATGGAAGGACTCCAGAAATGGCTGGTATTTTTCTTGCCTCCCCCTGTCCTCCCCATGGAAGGGCCAGTCCCTTGTAGCCATGTCCTCTGGCTTTTGTTCTCTTGTAGCTCCCAGCCCCCATTCCCCGTGGGAACAGGTGTAATTGAACCCCAAGACTTTTGTTGTCCTACTGGGAGAAAGGTGTCCACAGGGCGCAGAGAGTGGGTGAATGGGAAACCAGGTTACTAAAGTCTGCATGTCTCAGAGAAGGCTGCCATCAGCTCATAATGGGTCTTTCTTTGTTTTTAAACTTGTTTCCCTTTCATTAGGTCTGTGAAAATACCCACAGCAGCTCTGAAAATGGACACGTGAAAGGAAAAGATTGTGGCCAAGACAATGAGTATGCAAAGACCACTTACTTCTAGCTGGACCTGCAAGTGGCTGTAGCTAAAGGCAACTTAGTGATGTGCCAGCTCTGAGGACTGACAGTGTCTTCATTTGCAGGACACCACCACCTCCCAGGCAGTTGCTGCCAATTCTTGTTTTCCTCTTCTTTTTTACCTTCTTTTATCTCCCTCTGTAGCTTGTATTCAGGCACTGCATGCTGTCTCTGGTGTTCAGCAGTGCTCTTGCTGGAGAAAATGTGATGCTTTTCATTTAAGGGAAAAAAAGAAATCAGAAACCAAGATGAAGGCAACATTTTCTCTTCTTTTTTCTTGTCCCATCTCCAGGAATGTGAGACTGTAAACTTTGTCAAACTGTGACACCTGCAAGAGCATTGAATAGACTTGCAAGAGAGTACTGTGCTCTCACTAAAGAGAAAGCCAGAGCAGATGCAGCACTGAAAACAATCTCACACTTGCGAGAAGTAGTGATTTATCTTGACTGTCTAGCATGGTCTTCTCACCCTCTCTTAAAAACACTCCCTTTTTTTAAAAAAAACAGGGACAGCTAAAAAAAAAAAGATGCCGTTGAGGAAACTGAGCAGTGAGCAAGGATGTCTAACAGGCAGCAGAATTTTCACATTACTGCTGGTGGCTTTGAATTAAAGCATGTCATGATGCTTTTTGCACAGAAAATTGTACTACCAGGACCACAGTAATTTGTCTGTTCCAGGAAACTGAGAGGCTGTTGGTCTCTCAGAAGAAAGTGCAAATCTTTCTGGGAGCTATCAGGTCTGTTCTACTCTGTTCTAGTCTATTCCTTCTTGCTGTATCCATTTCTGCCTTTAAATGGCTTACGACCATTTTTGTCTTACACTATGAAGAACAAACATGTGCTTTTCCTGTGCTTTCCCTCCACTTACCTTCTGTCCCTCAAGATGACTTTCCCTTACCACTAGCTTGGTACAAATGAAGACCAGAAGTTATACAGTGGTGGTGTTCCAGCTTTGTCTGTATGCAGCTCAAAGGCTATTTTCTGGTAGTGGGAAGAAGCCTTTAAAGTAGACTTTATTTCTTCTCCCTGTTGTCATGCCTGCATGTTTTTCATTGATCAAAGTACCCCACAAATATGTAATTTGATGAAGGTAGAGTTTTGGAGAAAACCAGTGACATGTGACAACGCCCCACCAGGAGGGGCTGCCTGTGGTGCCATCTTCTCTCTGGCACTGCTTTTCAAAGGATTTCTGTGGTGCTCCTGTTCAGTGGCCCTGAGTACAGAAGAGTTCGGTTCTTTGTTTGAGGGTGCTCTTTCCTTGGCAAAGGGGCTGCCTCCTTTAGGCTTTTATGGAAAATATGACATTGAGGGTAAAGGCTGAAGGAAGAGCTTGGAGCAAAGTGCACAGTTACAGAGTGAACCACAACTCCTTTTGGGAATTCTGCTCTGACACTTTGTTTCAGCTCACTTCATAAATAAAGGTGTCCAAGCACATCTGATGTACCCAAGCACGTCTGATGTACTTCTGCTTCCATCTCATTCACGTCTCCAGTAGGCTGAAGATCCATCTCATCTGCTCTTCTCTGGACCACTGCACCTGGTTAGTTTGGAGGTCACTGAACAGTGCACTTCTGGCTGAGGAGCACCTGAATAGCTTGACTCATGATGTTTTGCCCAGCTCAGCAGAAATGGGAGGATGTCCAATGGCTTTGCTGTGCCTTAATGTTGCTTCTACCTGGTCCACACATGGTCTTACACTGTAATAAATAGAGATTACAGTATAGAGTTGAGCTAGGTGTGGTGGAATAGCATGTGAGAATGCAAACACACATTTGCATGAATACAGTGGGATGTTATGGGCTCTCATTATGATGAGGCTATGGGCAAAGGGTAAAAAGTGCCTCAGGTGACCTGAAGGGGTAACTAGGGAAAAGATTATGACTCCATAGGCAAGGGGAGTGAGACAAAAGGCTGAAGAGAAGGTGAGGACAAAATGCGATAGCAAGGTTTATCTGGGAAGAACAGATTCAAGACCTTAACAGAGTGGCTTACCAAGCCGTGACTGGAGGGCCAGTTGTGGCAAGGTGCTAAAGGTGACAGCGGTAAGAAAATTCCGGGACACTGTGAAGGATCTGCTAAGGCATACTGGTTAATGTATAAGCCTTCTTCAGGCCCTTCTGTATCAGACATGGGAGTGAGGTCCTGCTCCCGTGCTTACACCCTCATTTACTCCTGCCTGTGTTAGGGTCAGAACCTCTCGACCTCTGTTTCCCTTTGAAGGAGACCCAGGTTCATGTATCGAACCCTCTCCACTGCTGAGGAAGCTGGTCAGGCAGGGCCAGGGGTATCTAAGGTGTGGATGGACAGCAGAGCCTCAAGGTGAGAAGCTATGGGACAAAGCAGGTGTGGCTGCCAGAAGAGCCCCACAGGGACCACTGGAACAATCAGCTCATCTTCAGTGCCAGTGACACCGGCAAACTATGCTGAAACCCTGAGTCCTGACTGTGGGACAGAGGTGTCAGGATCCCAGACTTTGCCCTTTGACTAGAGGACATCATCCTCTCCTTCCTTCTGACCCCATGCTGGGGAGACCCCAGGTCTATGACCAGAGCAAAGCTTGCAGAAAGGGACCCAACAGAGAATGGCTGAGGAGATGAGGAGAAGCAGCATTAATGCTCTGCAATGAGTCAGTGCCAAAGCCCAGGTCCTTCAAACGACCTGCCCCATCTCCAGCCATGGTGGGGTCCCATGTGACACTAGGGAGATTTTGTGCACCAAAGACAAAGCACAAAATAAATATCACTTCCAGGCATGTCTGGCCTGGACTTGGAACACCCCAGCCTTCAAAACAACATTTACTACAGCACAAAGCAATCAGAAACAAATGGATGCTACAAACCCAAGTGACCTGACTTCTTCGACCAAGACTAGTGCTGTGGTTTGAGGAGATACCTTCATGAAAACACACCAAAGACATTCTCTGCTTAAAAACAAGTAGCATAGGAGAGGAGGCCACCATTCTCTTTCTTTTGCGTGACACTAGTGGCACTAAAATACTATGGCTGAGCTAACAGCAGCCAAACAAGGTCACTGTTAGAGGCTGACCATGACTGGGGAAAGCTGTCCAGATGCCCACTCAGTTTAACTGACATTGAATTGCAGCATCCACCACACAATTCAGGAAACTTCCACAGCTGCTAGTAGAGAAAATAAATATAAATTGTTCATCTGAAGACTGGGAAAAAAAAAGTCCTAATTGAACCCAGTCATTCCGCTCTGTTTCTGCATTGTTTGTGGCTGATGGAAACCAAACACGTCTCCATCTGTGTGTTAAATTACAGGCTTACAATTTCTGTGTAGAAAACACTCCAGAGCCAATAGCAGTTACAAAGGCCAACTGTGAAACAGTAGGAAAAAAAACCCAACACCATTTATTATTCACATATTGCATTACAAGTGTCTCTTATCAAACTCAGAGTATAATTTATATTATTCATGTAGAAAGTCAAATTCAACACCACATGGAAATAAAAGCTAAATACATGTGTGACAGGGTTTCAGTGACATCCTGGTCAAACGTTGAGGCTTGGACCGACGAGAAAGCTGATGGCCCAAGCGATTAGTGCAGGAGGGACACAGCCCAGCGCTCGCTTGCCCAGTACTACCACCCTACTGGCGATTCTTTATTGCTGTAAAACACAACAGGGATGGTTCCACGGGTACCAGTTTGCAAAGGACTGGGAAACACGTCGGGAGGACTCGCGCAGCCAGGCATAACCGACTGGGATTCAGGAACAGTTTGAAGTGCATCTTTTCCAAACGCAGAGTGACACAGATCATCTCTCTCCCTGACCACAAATATTGTGTCGATCTGAAAGACCAGTTTCCAGACAGCAATGCCTCATTGGTCTGCTTTAAGAAGTATCAGATCAGACAAAACATTTAGTATATGCCTCTCCATTCTTCACTTGCTCTCCGAGCATTTGTAGGTTTCCTCCTCCAAGTCTACTCCATCCTTTCTAGCGTCTCTCTTGTGCAAAGTTTCCTGTCTCCTGCTGCTGAAAACAAGACAGAAAGAGGAAGAGTTGCTACTGTTTCCAACCTGGTTTCTGACATATTTATCTTTGCCTTAAATTTTCATCTTTGGATTTTTTTTTTCTTAAATACAGAGCTCGAGGTACCCACCTCACCTGGGGTGTAGCCACCCCCATGTTGTCCACCAGGTCAGTGCCACGGGTCTCAGGCAGCAGAAAGCAGAGCAGCCCCCCCACCACGGGGACGCTCCCGAAGATGGCCATGGGGATGGCCTGGTGGTACTGGCCCAGGAGGCGGATCAGTGGGGCCATGATCCCTGCCACCCGTGCAGACATCGAGCACAGCCCCACGCCGGTCTGCCTGGGGGAACAAGGGGTGGTGGGAGGTGTGGGCAGGGCTCAGCATCCCTGGGCCACCGTGGGACTGACTGTGGCCATGGGGACAACCAGGCTCTTGCCCACCACTGCCACCAGCCATGGTGGAGGGAACCTCCAATGTGTGTGGAGACCTCACCTGATGACCGTGGGGAAGAGCTCTGCGGAGTAGACGTAGGAGGTGGAGAAGGAGGCTGAGGCTGTAAATTTGCCGATGATGGCCAGGACTGTGGTCGCCACAGGCTGGTCTGAGGGGAGGAGAGAGACCACCGCTGTTACCTCCTTGGGGAAGGTTCAGTTGGGACCAAAGGTCTCTGCTGTGTTATTTCTTGGGACAGCCTTTTCTAATGAACTCACCAATCAAATCTACCACCTACCCCATTGGAAATCATTCCTAATGCTCCCTTTCTTGGAAAATACCCTCTGTACAATTGGCAAAGAGAACCCAGATATATCCTGAGGACTTTGGCATTTCCTAAATCTGCAACTAGAGTGAGGCACTGAGCCACCACAGGTCTCTGGGGAGTGCTCAGTTGGAAATGTCGTGTCCATGAGCTTGAAAGCATCGTGCAGACCCTCTCTTTCTTTCAGCCTTACTTGCAGCACTAACACAGCAGCAGAGGTGACGGTACAGACTGCTACAATGCTTAGGGAGAAACAGATGAGGGGGGGGATTTGTTTTTATTGTTCATCTAAAGGAGTGAGACAAGGTGGTTTTAGAACACCTCTTCTGCTACGGTTTTCTGAGAAGAGGTGGCGGTTGTGTCTAGTGAGTGATGGTGTGTAATGAACACTGCCTGCCAAGGGCCAGGAGATTTGGAAGGACCAGGCACAGCTCTGAAGGAGAAAAAAGTCATTCAGAGAGGAAACTACCACGCTGGGAGTGCAGCCCCTTGGACTATGGCACATGAGACAGCTCAGCCTCTGGGAACAGGTGTGTGTCTACTGCCAGCTGGGCTAGGAGGATGGTTCTGAACCAGGAATAGAGCTATCTGGGGCTCTGCCTGGTTGTGCTCTTGGATTGGGAAGAGGTTATTCACCTTCAGGGATGCAAATTATGATGAGACACATCAGGCCAGACAGCAGCAGGACAACAGCCTGGGTTTTCTTCCTGCCAAACCTCTGCAGCAAGAAAATGCAGCTATATCGAGCTGCTAACTCCACTACCCCAAAGGCAAGCTGCGTCAGGTAGATGTCCAGACCAAAATTTGTCACATTAAGGCTCAGTCCGTAGTAGACAAGGCTGTCTGCAAACCTGAAATTCGAGTAAAGTGGAATAGAATATGTAACCAGATGGGGTATTCAGGCATTTATCCTCAAAAATTAGGATGGTTAGACCACACACAACTTATTTAAACTCCCAGCAATCTCTGTTTTACTCCTAGTCACAATCTGTGACAAATCTGTTGGACATAGTTACATGAGACAAAGCAGTATAAATCCTCATATGGTCAGCAACATTTAGACTGCACCCAAAACTTCTAGGAGGGCACAAAACTACCCTAAATTCCAGAGATTGCCAAAAGCTGGAATTACTACAGCCTTTCTCACAAACCCCACAGCATCTCGAATACTCAGCTTCTGCCCATGCCCAGACAAGGTAGATCTGGTAGATCTATGGCGAGCCAGAAAGAGAACGGATGAACACAGAGACGTAAATATGAATACCCCACCTCCCACATGATGTGAATTTACAGCTACGACTAACCATCAATCCCTTCTCTTCTTCACCTAGAAGTTTAGAAAGAGGGGACCAGGGGATGTCTTACCAGGTGCACAACATGATTAAAGTCACCTTCCGGAGGTGCTTCTTCCGAAAGAGATCCAGAGTATTTCCAGACTTGGTCTGTGTCTCGGGCTTCAACTTCAAAATGCAGAAAGCCAAAGAGTCAAAGCAGGCAAAAGAAACCCATGGCTAGCTCCTTTTCCATCTACACTCAAAGGAAAGCCTCAGCGGGACACGCCTGTGGCCCCAAACTGCTCTGTGAGGGAGGGCAGCCTTGGGGGCCGGGCTCCTGCATCTGTGCTCTGGGTGCCTAGCACAGGAGTTTGGTGACCAAGAGGTTCCTCGGGAAGAATATTTCCCCAGCGTAGGGTCTTTGGAGTGGGCAAGAACATAACCCCCCCTTCAGGCATTTCTGCATGGAAAACCACAGACCAAACAGGGACCCCATGCTCATCCTCAACACTCCTGCAGCCCTCACAGAAAAAAAGCCAGGGAAGCTTTTGAGTCCTTTCCATATCCCAGGGTGGACTCCAGAAAGCTTCAGGCTGAGCCTCAGCAGAAGCCGTGCCTCTTCCCTGACCTTGTCTCTGTACAATGCAGCTGAAGCTGGAGTTACGCACAGTCCATCCCCAAATCATCCCCAGTGGGCATGGGAAGATGTTTATCGGATGACCTCAGCTCCAATGGCGGCTACAAACCCAAGCGCAGAGGGACGTCTCTGAGGACAACAAGCATTTCCCCATGTCACCACAGGTACCTGCTCAAGGAGTCCTGGTGGGATGGTGCGCTTGTTGATGGATGCTGCCTTCTGAAGGACCTTCTTAGCTTCTTCTATTCTGCCTTTTGTCACCAGCCACCGAGCTGACTCTGGTAGCACCCTGCCGAGGAGATGAAATCGGAGATGCTGTTGTGACCTGCTGAGTTTCTCCATGGCCCATCTTCCCGCAACCACGTCCAGCAAGCAGCGGGCCTCACACGTGATGGAGAGGTCTAAATACCTCCTCAGGCCAGTTTTTCCAGGCCTACGTTTAGGCCCCAGAGGCCACATCTGAAGACCTGAAGCAAAGCAGCTGCTGCTCTCAGGGGTTCCGTGCCCCAGGGAGATGTGCTGAGCTCTGCAGAAGCTGCTCCAGCATCTGCACTCTGATAGGAAAGACCCAGCCTGCTCCTGAGCTGCTGCCTTCTCGCTGCCACCCCTCACACCCACTTCTGTCATGTCTGCAAGGAGCTCTGTGCGTGTCCCACTTACCAGATGTAGAAGAAAAGCACAAACACTGGAGCAGATCCTGCAATCTCCAGCAGCCTCCAGTTGCGAATACCATAACTCAAGCCAGCCAAAATCATCTGTCCGATGGCAAAAAAGCAGTGAGAAATAAGCACTGCCTTTGGCCTGGAGGAGGTACCAACCCATTCTGTAGCTGAAAAGAAGATTGAAGGTTCAGATTCATTCATGCAAATGGCTTCCCTTGATGCAGACACAGTTTTTCTTCTGGAGAAGAGCTTTCCTGGATGTGAGGTGAGGTGAGGTGAGGAGACCGGCAATCAGAGCTCTGACATCAGTCACACATGTAATTCACCAGTGCTTCATGACATGCATCACCTCTACTGATCCTCTGCAAGAAGACATGAAGCTCAGGTATGTCACCTCTTTGCTCTCAGCATCCACAGATACCTTCTCTGGGCCAGAGCTGGGGCCCAGATTGATCATGTCCCAGAGGTACTGGGTTCTCTCCCTGCACTGACCTCCGGAGCTGGGAGACTATCCCCTTGCCCTCCTCTGAGCACTGGCATGAGACAGATGCTCCCCATGGCTCTCACTCAGGGTTGAGGAGACACCAAAGTGCCAGAAGACAGTACAGAGCACGACCTGTCCTCACCACAGTGTTTTTCAAGTCATACATGATTATTTTTATTTCTTTACAGACATTTCCTATTGCATCTTGAGAGACCACATCTGTCTGCCTCAGCTCATGGGCATCTACTCACCTAAGGCCAGTATCGTCATGGTGATCCCTGACACCGAAGCCCCCACAACACATCTGAAGGTCATGTACACATAGAAATGGGGCACAAAAGCAATTCCTACACCAAACAAGCCCTGAATAAAGATGGCGATCAGAATGACTGGCCGGCGGCCGATCCTGGGGAGGAAAAGGGAAGACATAGTCGGCATTTGGAGAGACCCCATGGAGATGTAGAACTCAACAGGTCACACAGTGACTGTATCACCCTCTCTTGAGATTGATGAACCACAGACTAGACTCTGAGTTGACATGTGAAGCACTCTATGCAAGCGTTGTGCCCTTCTCCCTCCCGCCCCCTCTGTGGCCATGTCCTCATGGGACCTGAGGACTTTGGTCAGGATCCCTGTTAGCGAGAAGCAGTGACAAAAGTCACAGAGTGCAGTCACCAGCCAGGCTGGGAGCAGTGTGTCGCTCTGTGCACCACCTGCTTTGCACAGACCTTGGATGAGTGATTGTGTCTCCTCACCTGTCACTTAGTGGCCCAAAGATCATGGCTCCTAGGAGAAGACCCACCATGTAGATGGACTGGGAGATGTCATTCAGGTACTTCCTGTCACACACCAGGTCAAACTGGAGGAAGGAAACACAGATGATTTTGTTCTCAACAGGCTTCAGATGCTTTCTGATCCCACCTCTAAGGATGTGAGTCTCCATGGTATGCACATAGCAAACAAGTCAGAGGTGCACAAGCCCGTGGGGCAATCGGTAGTGCCCTGCTCCTGAGCACTGGGACCTGCAGGACTTCCCTCCAGCCAGATACCCTCAGGGGAGACTCCCAATTGGCAAATTTTGCTTGAAGTGGGACTTGGGACAGAAGTCTCAGGAACTTGCTTCCTCCTAGACTGCCCGGAGGAAAAAGGATGAGGGCAACACTAATTCCTGGGCAGAACAGTTTCTTGTGAAAGAGATGTTCTGCAACTGTTTGCGTCCAGAGGGCATCTACATCTTCATCATCTATGAAGAGGGCATCTTCATAGGGAAGATCATGTATAGGAAATACTGAGAGATCAGAAAGCACTGAAAGAAGTTTAGCACTGCTCAGGGGAGCACTGTTGGTGCTGATAAAGCTCCCATTGATGTTTAGATGTGTGGCTTTGCAAGCTTTCTTCTCCTTGTCAAACCTGGGACCTCTGCACAGAGCAAGGAGCGATGAGGAACTCAGGCTCTTTGGAACAGCCCTGAGCTAGAGCCTCAAAACTGAGACCCTGAGGCAGACACTGCACAGCTGCTCACCCTGACAGTTCCCCAGCATGTGGAGAAGCAAAATCAAACCGCTGAGATCTGCCTCCTTCCCCCAGCCAGGGTGTCTGAAGCACAAAGTTGTGCACAGGGACAAATTGGAAGGTTACTCCCTGTCTGCATAGGGGCAGCTGGGGCAGGGAGACACAAAAGGTCCCACCAGGAGTCATTAATCTATCCACTGGCTCTACCCTGCTGGCTTCTACATTGCAGCATGCTTGCATGCAACCCCTCCAGGACCACACCTGGGGGCTGGGTGGTGGAACCACTGTCATCAAAATACACCTGAAGCAAATCTCAGCCCAGCTCAGTTGCACCATGACTGGCACCAACTTTGACTGAACTGCAAGACAGGGTGGGCTTTTGGGTGTCCCTTCCCTTCCACGTCCCCAGCACATCAAAAAGCGATTACAGACCTCGGTAAGCAGGGATGGTTGTTGTGCTGAAGGGTACACCCAGCCACTGCTGCACTTCTCTGTAGCATTCAGGCCATATGCCACGATAGAGCCCAGGTCTGAGTCCACCGGCAAGTACATGGAGCACTGTTCGTATGTCCCATCCACATCTCGGGGCAGGGTGAGGTTCAGCTGCTCTTCTTCTGTCAGGTTGGGGCCGATGGCACGGATCCAGCTGGTGTCACAGTGATGTGGCACATGTGGAACCATAAAAAGTTGGCAAAACTGGTGGAAAGCCACACTGAGGCAGGGAAACAAGGTGAGCAGAACCAGGCATTTCTGAAATGGCCCAAAGTCACCAACCGCCTTCCAAATTTCCCTGACGCCTGACATTGGCAGCTGCGTCTGAAACAGGACAGTGTTGGGAAAGATTTTCCAGAGGGCTGGAATTAATGTTTAAACCTTAAATAAGCTCTGCAGTCATAGGCAGCCACCACAAGTATGTAAAGTCAGGATAGATTTAATGCCTGATGTTTTATCTAAGTACACCATGTAATATATTAATCATCTCTGTGCCACTCACAAACATACAGTGCTGGCTGGAGCAGAAGGACCCCTGTTTCAGGGAACCGGGGTCAGCCCCTCTGTCAGGGCCAGGTGGCACTGACAGGGGAAAAGACTCTTCTCCAAAGCAACTGCAGGAGCTGCATTTGCTGAACCACTGAGATGGCTCCCAGTGATTGCACTTGGGCAAGCGGTCAGAGGGGCCAAGACAGCTCAGCGTGACACAGAGTTGGGAAATATCCAGGGGCATAAAGGGAGTGATGCTAATAGATGGGTAGAGCCAGAGTTGAGGAAGGGTGGCCAGCTGGCTGTGAACCCAGGTGACAGGAGACTCCATTTGTTTCATCTTTTGCATCTTCCCTGTGCAACTGCAAGCAAGACACACAGTGGATGTTCACCCTTCCCACCAGTTCTTGGCCACCCCACAGGCTGGTGGGGGCTATATGAAAGGGAAGTCTTGGGGAAGGAATACAGGGATGGGAGAAATCTGACACAGAGCTTTGCTGCTTGAGGCAGGTTTGGCAAATCTCAGCTCAAATGCCTTTATGCCTTAAAATGATCACTGAGAACATGAAACCAACTCTGTTCAGCCCATTCCTGAGGTAGGAACAGCATTTGCCTGGGGCCCCTTTGGGATGTCCATGAGGCAAAGCCTCCAGAAGTGTCCAAAAGCAACTTGGATGCTCCTTCTCTTGCCCACAGATCTGTGGGAAGTGCATTGTATAAACATGATGGAAACCAGATCATGGCTGCTCCATTTGGTTGACCAGGACACTCACACGGGTTGAACTTGAATGTAGACCAGCTCCCCAGGCAGCCAGAGGAGAGATGCTGCCCTCAAGATATGCCCAGCTCAGCAGCCACAAGCAGGGAGCACCAAAGGTGGATAAAAGTAGGCAGAAATTGAAACAGGCAGAGGTGCTGGATTACAAAAATTGTGTCTGTTCAACCAGGAAACTCAGATGGAGGATGAAATCAAGGTGCATCTGTTCACCTTGGGCTCTGTTTCATTAGTAGGAGACAGTACAGGCCAAACCTTGCTAAAAAAGGAACCATGCATGTCCCAGGCCTGACCCTGCCATCTCCCCTGGCTGTCATCTGGCTCCATGTTAGAAGGAGTCCAGGGCACAAAGCAGCCTGATCCACTCTCTTCTGTCATGGTTTAAATGGGGAAGCCCAGTAGGGTCAGTCAGACACCAGTCACAGGTTTCATGGATCTAGAGAAGCAGGAGCCAGAGGACTGACACAAAACTCTGTCAGAACTTGAGAGACAATGCGGTCTGTTCTGCTCTGACTGGCATTGGAGAGCCTGAGCTGTGCATCATGTTTAAAGGAGGCTGGAGGACACTGAGGCCCTGGACTAAGGACCAAAGGAAGGAGTGGGAACCCCATTGCTGGAGGTTTCCAACAACAAGTAAGAAAGCAGCAATGGTTGATTGGAGCTGAGTCACATCTCTGGGCTGAGATGGCCTCCTCAGGAATTGATGAGGGCATGTGTCCATGACACACCTTTCCATGGCTTTTGGTAAAGGTCAGAAGGAACTGATCTGCTGCAATTCAGGAAGAACTTGTGCACCAAAGCACAGAACAAACATTGCCTCCAGGGATGCTTCAGCTCAACACACCTCAACCTTCAAAACACCATTTACCATAACACAAATCAATCAGAAATGAAAGGATGTTACAAACCCGAGTGACTAGCATCACCTCATGATCTCAGGGGTACACCCAGCCACTCTTCTCCATGGCATTCAAGGCCGTATGCCATGATAGAGCCCAGGTCCTGGTCCCACGCCATCAGTAAGTATATGGAGCACTGCTCGTATGCCCCATCCACGTCCTGGGGCAGGGTGAGGTTCAGTTTCTCTTCCTCTGTCAGGTTGGGGCCAACAGCACAAAGCCAGCTGATGTCACAGTGATGTGGCACATGTATGAAAAGTTAGCAAAACTGGTGGAAAGCCACACTAAAACATAGTGAGCAGCACGAGGCATTTCTGAAATGGCCCAAAATCACCAACCACTTTCCAGATTTCCCCGATGCCTGACATTGGCAGCAGTATCTGCTGAGACAGGTTTCCTCAGGGATGGAACTGGTACTTGAGCCCAAAGTAAGCCTTGAAGGTGTAGGCAGTCAGGGGTATGCAAATCTGAAGAAAAAGCAACATGCTGGCTTGGGATTTGTACTCATACTGCATTCCCATTAGAGTGAAACAGAAGTTTCAGGAGATGCACACCATCCAGGGGAGGTTACTTTCTATTTGGAAACTCATCAGTTGGGAGGAGGGACTTCGAGAAGGTGATCGGGATGTAGTAAGATGAGCGGGGAAGCCCACAGGCGTGGGCAGTATGAGAGACCTCGCAGTGAGCCCCTCAAAGGGAAACATCTAAGGATGAAGGTAACTGGGGTGGACTATTCAGTCATGTGAGGACTATGAGGCACCTGGATGAGGGGAGCATGGAAAGGCTTTAGAACTGTCCATAAAGGAATTTCCTACACAGGCAGGGATGGGAGACTAAACTTCGCTGCCTTCACAGAAGATGGGAAAGAAATTAAAAGGATGTGAGGAAAACTCTAGGGTTTCCTTCAGTGCAGTCTTCAGAGTTGGCTTTCCAAGAGTCAGGCAGCATCTGTTTGGAACCAAGCACTGCTCTTTTGCATGGCATTAGGTGACACTAACAGGCTGCGGTCAAGGTTGCAGTTATAGAATGACCACAACTGGGGAAAGCTGTCCAGATGCCCGCTCAGTTTAACTGACATGGAACTCCAGCATTCAAAATGTGACAAATCTAGTGCCACAACCACGGCAGAGGCTCAGTGCCAGGTCACAGAAGCATTTCCAAGATTTACTGACAGTCTGCCAACAGCCCTGCCACCTGCACACTTGGACAAGACTTTTCACTTCAGGCACCTCCTTGCTCCTACAGCCCAAATTATGACCACTAGCACAGCAATGTGCTGCAGCAAGGGATATTGATGCTTATGGAGGGGAACGGAACAGCTAGAGCCAAGAGATGTCACGATGACAAGAGCTGGGGCCAGGCCTGAGCTCTACCTCTCACCATCAGTGCATTTTCTTGGAAGTCCTAGCTCCACTACTCTGAGACACCTCAGAAGCACCTCTGGATCAAATCTGCCCTGAAACTTCAAATTCAGAAAGAACAAGTATTGTGGAGGTGTAGAAGAGGGAATGCAGTTCACGTTCCAAATGTTCTCAGGGTATGTCATCCCACATTAATACCAGCCTGTCACCCTGAGGTGTTCCTGGCCGAGGATCCTCATCCCCAGCTGCACAGGGCACGCAGAGCTTGGAGCAAACCTTTCAACTGGAGACAAGCCATCAAGGTAAAGTGCTGATCGCCATCCTGGTTCCATGCACAGGACTCCTGCAGAGCATCCCCACCCCCTCCCTACTGAGTCTTCCCAGGGGCTCTCAAACCTCCCATCGACCCCAAGGAGAAGTACCCCTGGGGATTGCAGAAACTCCTGGGACAAACTCCTTCCAAGACACACCATCCAAGCCAATGAGACAAACCATAAACACAAACACATGGCAATGAACAATTTGTTCTTTATTGATTAAAAATTAGAGACATGCAGTAAAATACAAAGTCCAAAAAAGGAAAAAAAGCCTGAATATTTTACATCTTTCATTATAATCTACAATACACCAAAGTTGTGAAGAGGATCCATTTTCATTAACAGAGCATTGTCCTTAAAAGTAGGAACTAACTTAAAATTACCACCTGCTTCCAGGTTCAGATCAGAAATTTGCACAAAACCCAAATTCTTAATGACACTGGAAAACAATTATGAACAGCATTGGCACTTACTGGAACAACATCAGAAAAGACAGTTCTCTAGAACTGTAATAGACCAAGTAAATATTTTGGATCCCTACCCAAAACATCTGGAGCTCTACAGAACAAAAAACATCAGTTTCTTCTTTACTTATTTTCTCCATTAAAGAACTAAGGAGCCTTGGGTTAGTGTGAGCTTAAGCTCTTTAAGTCCTGGCTTGGGGGAGGTGGAGAATAACTTAATAAATAGATGCTGCATTGTTCCATTTGAGCAGTTTGAGTCCTACCTTTCTCAGCACCAGTACACAAATGAACAAGGAGGTCCCTGTGGCATGCAGGGCAAAAGGGAAAAAAATAATACTGTACCAAGACTACCTTGTCTCTGTATCCTAAGGGTTTCCAATACATCCATAGCAACCACAGGGTGACATGAAAATTGCAATGCCAGCCTGCTCTTCCCAAGCCAAGAAGCTTGATGGGGACAGCCACAGGGAGTGCTTTGTGTCAGACAACTGAAGAAAGTGCCAGAGGTGCCACACCCACGTGCATGCACACAGTTGGCCAAACCCAGCCACCACCAACTCCCTGGTATCAGGCACTCGCTTCCTGGGCTCTTGACAGCATCTGCTCAGCACCCTGGAATGCTCTTGTCCCCAAGTCCTCTTCCTCCCCTCCCTCCCCTTCACACTCATCAGTCATGGGGCTGCTAACAGCCGACGGGGACATACCCAATATCCACCTAGAGGCTAAAAGCAACAAGGGCAGTATAAAAAGAACATGCACAATTCAGGAAGCTTCCACAGCCGCTCATAAAGAACAATATATAAATACAGATTGTTCATCTGATGACTTGGAAAAAAAAAAAGTCCTAATTGAACCCAGTCATTCCGCTCTGTTTCTGCATTGTTTGTGGCTGATGGAAACCAAACACGTCTCCATCTGTGTGTTAAATTACAGGCTTACAATTTCTGTGTAGAAAACACTCCAGAGCCAATAGCAGTTACAAAGGCCAACTGTGAAACAGTAGGAAA